TTATCGGTGTATTAAAGGCCATTCAAGGATCGTGAAAGTTCACGCAAACACGGTCGCTTCGCGCGTAGCATTAGGTGCCAATCAGGGTGAGCTAATTGGCTTTAAGCCAAATGTTTTAAAATCTGCTGTAACTGCATGTTCAACCAAAAAGAGACGTTTTTTACGGATTTCCTACTTATTTTAAGTTTTTCTTTTTTATTTCATATGCAAGAGGGAACACAGGTTGAAGTGAGTCGTAAGTTTATTCATATTTCGTGTGCTTTAATCGTTTATTTTCAACTTACAACTTCAAAACAAAACACCATACAAAAACTATAATTCGTACAGTAAATGAATGAAAACGAATAAAACGCAAAGAATATAAACACTGAGGATTGCATGCACATGTAAACTCCAGATTATTAGGCGTAAACACGCTTACCTTAGCAATGTGATGCATTGAAAGCAAATCTACAATAAATGTTTAGGAATTTGTGAAGAAAACAAAAGGATCTGCGAATATCTAATATAAAAGCTAGATAGTAGATTGAGTAAAATAAACACATGTAATCAATGAATATTTCACAACTAGCACTAGAACTGGCTGACACTTTCAAAGTAAATTTTAAGTTAAAATAAACGATTAAAGCCCACGAAATATGGATAAACTTACGACTCGCTTCAACCTGTGTTCCCTCTTGCATCAGAAATAAAAAGGAAAAACTTAAAATAAGTAGAGAATCCGTGAAAAACGTACTTTTTTGATAGAACATGCAGTTATAGCAGGTTTCAACAGGTTTGGCTTGAAGCCAATTAGCTCACGCTGATTGTCAGCTAATGCTACGCGCGAAGCAGTCGTGATTGTGTGAACTTTCACGATCATTGAATGGCCTATTATGTTCATTATTATTATTCATTATTATCTACCACTACAGGTCTACTTTCAATGTGATAATTAGGAGTAAATTAAAATTGATGATTTTTTAAAAAATCCTTACAACTTTGCACAGGCCTCGACAATGAGGTCTCCTGTTGTATCTTATGAGAACGAATACCCGTTTGAAATTCCAGATTACGAAGCCCCTTTGTAAACCTGTACAAACGCGTGCAAGCAGGACAAGCAGTGCAGTGCTGTTTGCTTGGAGCACGTTTTCTTCGTTAAGGTAAAACGATTTAGGTTCTAAGTAAGGAAGAAAGAAAGTCCGATCCGGTTATTGTTCTATAAGTTGCATAAAGGGATGCACAAAATGTGTTTGCTGTAAGGAACGCAAATGTGGGAAACAAGAAAGGATTTGCTAATCGGAGATGGGGTCTCCCGTAGGTCTCCGCCGGAGACCTAAATCACAAAGGTACAGCAATTTTTTCTTTGTCATAATTTTTCAAAGATTTTTCGAAATCTTCTTCTACTCCTTGTTTCGCATCTTTAGGCCGATTTTGGTGGATGTTCATTGCCTATTCCCTGAGGAAAACCGGTTTATATAGATATTGTAAAATTCGTTTGAATTTCCCACGCGGACGCCCGTATTGAAACAAACATCGAATCCGTATTGGAGCATGTTTCTGGAGGGTAACAGAGTGCGTATAGAATTGAATAATAAGAGGAATGGTGGGGAGCTACAACATTCTTCTTGTTAAGGAACCAAAATCGGCAATAAACTCCAGACAACTTGGATCCTGTACGATTTCCCCTTTGCTTTTTCCACGAAAACGCATTCCAGCTTGCTCTCCGGAGACCTGTCGCCAAGGTTTGACTCTGCAGATAAACCCAACCTAACTTTCATGTACAATACATCATCGGACTTGTTTTTTGTACTCAAAGAATTTTGCCGGAGTGCATGCTTCACCCAGGATTCTCTTGCAAGAAAATTTGTATTGCATCTTTTAGCTACCTAATCCTCTTTCCTGGGTTTCTCAAACAGGCACGCTTCTACAATATTTATTCTTCTGTTAAAAAGCATTAGAAAAGCAGAAAGAAGCCATCTCACACATTGTTCATTATTATTGTGATATGTTTTAAAAGTCGGCTCCTCAATACTTGCATAATTGTTTTTTTCGGAACAATGGGTACTCAAAATCACTTTTAAGCATTTTTGCGGACAGAGTGATCTTCCCTCGTCCTTTCTTGATAAACAAAAGAAGCGTAACTCTCCATTGTATGTCATAGGGCACAAGTAGTCCACGAAATCTGGCATCGTATCTGACCAAGCTTCAGACGCATTAAAAGCTTCACGGCTCAAGGTCAGCTGGTTTAGAGTACTGATGAGTGTTGAAACCGCC